AGAGAGAGAGAGAGAGAGAGAGAGAGAGAGAGAGAGAGTTGTTGAGCGGGTCAGAAAAGGGTGAAAGGATGGAAAGGGGGAATGGGGTCACAAACGAGAAAGAGAGAGTACCGAGTGGTCATTCCCACAGCTCATCATGATATCTGTGTGACTTGGGTTCACATGGATCCCACAGACCTTCTTCCCCTTCTTGTGAATCCGGATTGGCTGTTTATTAATCAGCTTCTTTGACCTCTTATCTATCCTGCACAGACCAGAAAATCAGATGCCCAAACAAATTCAGATCTGGTTAGAAGGATCACGATCAGGGAAAGGAACGGATGTTTCAGTACAGCGCATAATCCACAAAGTGAACCACCCAATCCATCAATGGGCAAAGCATGACAGATTTTGCAGCAACATACATTAACAGAACGCAAAAATCTACGAACAGGGGACTGCCGAGCACAACGCATCCTCATCACAAATGAACAAATGCAATCTTTCCAGTCTGATCCAGTCATGATGCAGGTGCATCATTACGTTATGTTCATGCAAATGCATACAAACGATCTTCCCAGTCCGATACAGTCATGATGTGGGTGCATTATGTTATGTTCAGGGCAAGACAGTATAGGGTACTTGCAGTTTAATCTCCATCCAACCTTAACCCACTACAAAAAGGGTGCCCGATGCAGTCATGATGTGGGTGCCCGATGCAGAGTTCCTACTCACCGCTGCCACATGCAGAGTTCTCTCTCAGCATGTATGGCGTCATCTAATAGACCCATGCATTTTTTTTTTGTCCTTCAGTCTTTCTGACCGAGTCATGACAAACCAAAGTCTATAACATTACACCTCAGACATACCGCGAGCGGTTTGCAACCAAAATCTTTTGTTACCCATGGGCCTACCATCTTCACCCGAATAGAACGCCCGGTCATTATAGCTGCGCATTCGGCCCAACTTTCAGTCCAGATGCAGCGATAATGACCGGGCATTCTATTCGGGTGAAGACGGTAGGCTCAGTTGATACACCTATGACCTGTCAAATTACAGACCCGGGCTCAAATCCAGCTACCACGATGCACAGTACGTGGTCAATTTTTCATTCTAATTTCTAATACATACTTTATTTTGTCCAACACATCAGCTAGCTTTTGGGGTACGTGTGCAGGCCAGCTAGCAATTTTCCAAAACCCCTAATTCAACTTTGATAATTTATAAGGATACACCTCAGACATACTACGAGCACGTTGCAACCAAAATCCTTTGGTTACCGATGGGCCTACCGTCTTCACCCGAACAGAACGCCCGGTAATTAATGCTGCATCTGGACTGAAAGATGGGCCGAATGCAACTATAACGACGAGGCGTTCTATTCGGGTGAAGACGTAGCTTAGTTGGTACACCTATGAATTGCTGAAAGACAGACCGGATTTACCATCCACCAGATGACCAGAACAAAACCATTCTCAATTTGACCTGGGGCCGGTCAGTTCAACGGTGATATCCCAAGAGTCCGTCGCACTTTTAAAAATTAAAACAACACAAAAAAAGAGAGAAAATCCTTTGATTCGCGCAGCCGGTCAGTTCAACGGTGATATCCCAAGAGGCCATCGCACTTTTAAAAATTAAAACAACACAAAAAAAGAGAGAAAATCCTTTGATTCGCATTCGAGTACACACCACATGAGATAGACAAGGACTCGGAAATGGGGAGTAAGAGAAGCCAAACATCTTACAGGTGAAGGTCACCAAAACTGTCTGCCGCAAGGACGAAGTTCTTCTCGTTATTGACATCAAGTCCATAGATCATCCTCCAGCTGCTTGGACCCTAACAGGAGAAGAGAAACCGGCACCTCGTTACCGAAATGTTGTTGCCCTCAATTTTTTTTTTCATTTTTTTTTTCTTCTGGGAGCATCAGTCCAGTTCCAATTCCACCGGCAAGCCGTAGAATACATGAAAAACTCACTCATGAGTCATGACGACTGCCAATGTCTAGCTGTCAAAAAACACACTTCACGGTCTTGTTGCTCCTCAATAGAAAAGTTTGAATAACTGGCAACGGCGTCAAGGGGGTTAAAACTTAAAACACAAAAAGAACCAAAACAGAAAAAAAAAAAAAACTAACATCAATGTATTCATCAGGATTTGAAGTCAGGCAGTCATACCTTTCTGTCTTTTTTGTTTTTGGCTAAGATAAAGTTTAACATCTGTTTTGATCAGTTCAATACCTCATCTGTGGTCCTTCAGGCCGCGCAATTTTTTCTTTTTTTCTTTGGCCGAGGGGGCGGTCGTAAGAGTAGGGCTTGCCTGCCTGCGTGACCCCCCTGTGGTGGCTTTGTCATGCACTGCAGCAAAGCACAGCGCAACCCACTAAAAAAAAAAAAAAAAAAAAAAAAAAAAAAAAAAAAAAAATACAGATTTGAACTTCGAAGTCGTCATCCGTTTACAAGCAGCTAGCGTGTATTATACCATTAAGCCACAAGGCCGGCAAGTAGTACGATATCAACGTATTAACCCTATCCACAAGAAATTAGGGAGAAAACAAAACTTGAGTAACTGGTAAGATGTTAACCTGATCCACAAGAAATTAGAAAAATAAAATTATGGATAACTATTAGTCGAAATATACCCCTTTGGGAATTTGACTTTGACATTCCCGGCCGCATTTTTCAGCATTTTTTTAACCGAAATCATCAGGCCTCACCGGCCTCCCCCCAGTAGGGCCTGACGATTTCGGTTCACAAAACGCCAAAATTACGGCCAGGAACGTCGAAGTTAAATGCCCAAAGGAGTATCAGCCCAACCATGCATGGCTGACAGCTTGACACCATTTCTCATGAAGGTTCATAGCTTGATTCCATGAGAAATTAAGGGATTGCAAGCCTGATTGCCGGTGTGATCTTGGAACGAACATGACCACGAACGATCGAGTGTGAACTCGAGCATCACACAACCACCCAACGAAAGCATATGCAGTTTGGGCATCAGAGCCACCTAAGCCAGTCACAAATGGAATGGTAGTCCCTCCTCCCCCCTCCTCTCCATTCTCTGCTCCCCACCTCCCACCTGACTAACTAAAGATGGAGAACTCTTGTGGTAGACTTCATATACATGCATGCAGAAAGATCTTCTGATAGCCATGATTCCAACAATACTCTACAGCTGGGTAGAGAACATGCAGACTCCCCAGGCTCCGCTGGCATGAGTAATTGTGGCGCTTGTAAAAAAAAACCTGCCCCTGATCATTAACAAGCCCCAAGCCCACCACCCACATGCAGACTCTGCCATAAACCACGAATCCAAGTGCTTGAAGTCGATATTAATACAAAATTACAAAAATAATATTACGACAAATCTATAGAAAATTAGAAATTATGAAAGGGCAAATTCAAAGCATTGTCACCCAGAGCACGAAAAGCAAAAGCATACTCCGCGACAGTAAAAGTGTAAGCTCACACTACCACACTCCTGGAGTGTAAACTCACACTACCACACTCCTGGACGTATATAAGGCCACATTCAGTCAGACAAGCTGGAGTGAGAGTATGCCGCAAGTCTTCCATTCATTCCCATCGACAGCAGTGCTCATCTACTCATCGAGTGAGAAGGGTCAAAGTCAGCAAGGCCACTTACATGCCATCCATTGGGGTTCAGATCCACCAATGTCTCTGCCGAGCCCGTTTCCAGATCAGTGTAGCACACTGTTCCATCTGACGATGCTGTGAAGACTGACACATCGGAATCCGGACTAAACCTGGCAGCACAACAAAGTTTTGTTCGCATCAGCCGGAACAGCAAACTTTGTCTCCAGATTGAATTTCATTTTTTTTTTCCATGTGCATATTTCTTTTCAGGCTCGGATACTTATCAAACAAAATGTTCGCACACCACGGCCAGGGTCCCATTTGCCCAAGTTTTTTTTTTCTTCACCACACTACAAAGGATCAACAGCCTGATGCACAATGATCCCAGTAAATGGAAACTGCACAGTACCAACAATGAAACATTACAGAGGAGCCTGGGATGGTTGCATGGATGAGAACCATTTCCAACAGACCCATGTCCCACAGGATCCTCTAGTCCACATGTGCCATACATTCCACAGGACGTAGAGATAACTGTGACTACCAGACGGACAGCCAGGCACATGACATCAGGCAGATGGTTTCGGCGGCCTTGGTCTGAGGGGCTCAAAACGGTCCAGGTTTGGACGCTGGAGGCTCCTTTTCACAACATTAGGATTTAAAAAAAAAAAAAAAAAAAAAAAGGTATCGCTCCCAAGGATGTTTGTTGATGGAGATGTTCGTATTCAATCAGAAAGGATTTCTTGAATAAGAAGAAACACCAACAAAAAAATGATAACAACACCTCCAGATCCCACAAAAGCCTTCGAGGGCTCCTCGATACAAGAGGCAAGGATGTCGAGGAGGAGGAGGAGGAGGAGGAGGAGGAGGTGGAGGACACCAGACCAAGAAAAGAAGAGGTGAGAGCAAGATTGCAAACGATTCCACATCCACCCCTGTGGGATGTCTTCCTCCTCCTCCCCTCACCGCACTCTCTACCACACTCTGTTTCTTTCACTTTCCTTAATTTATTCCTCCCTTATCTCAACGTCCCTCTCCATATGTATCCCTTCTTCCACATGTTTTCCTTTCACAGTCTCATTCAATTCCCTCTCCCCTCTCCATTCACAAGGGGAAGCAAGTTTCTCATTCCAAGCATAGTGTCAAGATCTAACTGCTCGACATCACAACACTGTTACCCTCCATTTGCACCTATCTGAATAGTGATGAGGAGCTCTCAAGTAGGATGAATCAACTTTTTGACGAGGCAGACCGGTCATCACAGACCATGAAGAATCGCACCCCGACTCTTCACCACAAATTCTCCAACAACACTGATGGAAGTCATCTTAGCATTCCAAGAGGGACTAGATGACATGTTGGTTGCATGTTTATCTAATAAGGGACGTTCGCAATTTCAGTGTCCGTCACGTGCGACGTTCGCAATGTCAGTGTCCGTCACGTCTTTGCCTATACGTCATAAAGTCAAAAGCCTTTCAACCAAACAAACGACAGTGAAGGAAAAAACCATCCTCGATCCCCAGCAACTCTTTTAAGCAAGCCAATAAGTGGATCGAAAAAGGACAAAACTTACAAGAACTCCACCTGTTCAAAACCTCGAACTCAACTCTCCAACTTAAACTTTGTAAACATCACAAAGTTTTGACTTGCTCAGGCAAATTCTCTGTTTAGAGTTGTTCAGGCAAATCTCACCATAAGAAATGCAGCTGCCGTTTTCCGCATCCTCCATATGCCTGACTATCAAGCAAACTGCCAGCCCACAAATCTACCCGTTCGAAGGGAAGGATATACAAGGGTTGTGATAAAGCATATATGCGGTCACAGAGAATTGCACGGTGAACCGTAAGAAGAAAAAAAGACGAGGAAAAGAAACAGTATATTTCTTCCACTCGAGAAGCAAATCCACAGAGCCTAGTCTTCTGCACGCAATTCCAACCGTTCATAGACAAGTCAAAGGGTAAAATGTGCAGCAGGGGTGAAGGAAAACTGCAGCTCACCTGATGGTATTGAGGAGACATGAGTGCACCGACTGATACACAGTCCTTTCATGAACAGTTTCAAAGTCCCAAATGGCTAACTGACCCCTCTGCACACACCGAAAACCCTCCCTGGGAGGGACAGATTCATTAGTCCCCATCATCATCATCATCATCATCATCAATATTAACGACTCCTCATGATGTTATCATTGCAGGCATTCACATGGACATAAGCCACTAAGAGCACACTCGAATCCAGACGAAACGGGACCTTTCTTCCCAACATCTGGTTATGGGCCTCGCCACACTACTCTTGAAATTGTCATTATAATTTTAAAAAAAAACTAATAAAATATGATCACACCCTCTCTCACAAGCTGGCAAGATACACATCCGCTACTATGAATAGTAACAGGATGTAGCTTGCCGCCTTCTGTGGGAAGATGCACTCACTTTTTTTTTTCGTTTCAAGAAGTCTGCCGAGGCCCTATTTCTCATTATGTGACCATCCTCGCATAATGACGATGGCTAATTCTTCTCCAATTTTAAATCCCTTTCTTCAGGTTTTTTTTTTTTTTTTAAATGGGCGTTACAGAAAACGTTTTCACTTCTATCCAATCTCGCTCTTCCTTTATTGAAGTTTATTCGCTTTTTTTTCAAAGTTTAGTCTATGTCGCACAGTCCTCACTCACATCCATCAAATCTTGCCCTTCGCTCTCTACTCTTTTCCTGTCACGCGACCCTCATCTCGCAAGAACACCTTCAAGACCTCACAAGACGCATTGGCGAGCATTAATTGACCAAGTGAATTATTATCAATTCCTTGCTCAGCAAACACAGATTGCAAAACCCTAGCACAAAACAAGCCTCACACCTTGTCTCCAGAGAGTAGAATGTTCTGCCGGGTCGGATGGAATTCCATCGTTGTCACCCGTCTGCTGTGCAGCTTTACTATGGCAGCCTGGACCTCATTAGGGATAACTGGCGGCCGCTTGAGCTGAAAGAACAACAGAATTCAAAACACACACCACCACAACCAGACTCATTGGCATAAGCTCGCTGTGATCAGAAGTTGGCATTCCATCGGTATGACCGTACTGGATGGATGACCAAGCATAGTGAAAGCTCACCATCCAATCAAGTGTGAAGTGAGTAGCTGAATATCACTCATTCTGAGTCCTTCATCGATATTACTTGATTCTACTAGCAGAACTTAGTCCAATGCAATGAGTAAGGAAGCTACTTCGATCCTATTCGTCCTCACTCCGCTCTCTCCCATTTTTCAAGCATGATTGCACTCTTCTTCCCCCCCCTCCCATTGGCATAAGCTCGCTGTGATCAGAAGTTGGCATTCCATTGGTATGACCGTACTGGATGGATGACCAAGCATAGTGAAAGCTCACCATCCAATCAAGTGTGACGTGATTAGAGATGAATATCACTCATTCTGACTCATTCATCGATATTACTTGATTCTACTAGCACAACTTAGTCCAATGCGATGAGTAAGAAAGCTATTTCGATCCCATTCGTCCTCACTCTGCTCTCTCCCTTTTGTCAAGCATGATTGCACTCTCTCCCCCCCCCCCCCCCCCCCCCCCCCCCCCCCCAACTGTGAGAGAGAGACCCGGCATAATTGAAGCAACAAGCAATGTCAACAACTTTCAGCGCAACCCTTTTGGTTTCCCGCCCCCAGAGCTTCCTGAGCACTCGCCCCTCCCCTATGTCATCTCCCTTTCCGTAGACTGCCGTCGTGACCCGAATAGAACGCCCGTTCATTATATCTGCATTTGGGGTAATTTTCTGTCTGGGTGCAGCCATAATAATGACCGGGTATTCTTTATTTGGGTGAAGATGGTAGCAGTCACTCCCCAAACCTCCACACCTTCATTTCGAGCAGCAAAACTATACAGTTATTATCAACGGTTTGATTTCAACCACCTACGAGTTTGCATCAAACTCACACTTGGGCATATTCAAGTGACAGTGGCCACAACTGCTGTCAGATGCTTCTACAAATGAAAGTCCTGGTGTTTTTGGCAGTTCCCTTGCGACAATGTCATTTGCCAGGGCACATTTGCAATTCGGCAGAAAGGCGGCCAGGTTATGAATTAATCATCAAACACCGCCTACCCTCTTCGCCTGAACACAACGCCCGGTCATCATATCTGCATCTAACCTGAAAGTTGCACGGAATACAGCTATAATGGCCAGGCGGTGTGTTCAAGCAAGAAGGTAGGGGACATTCTGTGCCTTGGGTCTCAGGGTGCCAACAATTCATTGAGGTTAAGAAACAAAACATACATGTTCAATCAACAAACATGATCAACATAGTTCTCATAATTTGGGAAAAAGGGCGCGCATTAGAGTCAATTATCACAAATGCCAGACCACTAAGGGCATCTCGATAACCTCGTACTTTGGTAGGGTCTTGTAGGAGAACAGCATCAGCCATACTTCGAGCAATAATCGGCAGTAGCGGGCATAACAGTTCAGGGTCATCAGCAATACCTTTTCTTGTTGGTTTTGGGCTGAGATGAAGCGAAGTACGGTCAAGTACCATATGATGCTTCTTTAACTTTTCCCTCTTTTCCTTTCCTTCTGATCAATTTGATATTTGATCGACGGCCGATCAGACCACGACCTTTTTTCCCCCCTTTTCTCCTTGATTCCCTTTTCCCCTTTTTCTTCCTTTTTTTCCCTCTTTGAGTCTTTTCCTTTTTTCTTTTATCCCTTTTTCATCTTTTCTTTCTGCAGTTATCAGGGCACCGTCGCATCCCATTTGACGACCCCAATGTTCACGAAAAAAGAAAGGTGAGAGTCATCAACACAGTCACCTCGCACGATGAGCCCCTGATCTCTCTTTCGGCAACGAATTCAACAATTGCCTCTGTATGTCTCCGAGACGAAGGCGTAATACCATGCTCTGGGGCGGTCCGGTGAGGGCAGGTTGCCGTCGTGTGACCTGAAGGCATGACATGGCATAGCACAGCGAAGACCAGGCCAACAGAAAAAGAAGGAACTGAAAACCATTTTCAGAAGCTCACGAAGAGAGCATCATTAATACCATCACACCAAGTGATTTAGAATTAAAGTCCGAACTCTGGGAGCATATATAGTTGTCTCATTATGTTCTCGCTTTCCCGCCACCACCAACACTAACAACCATGCCACACACGCACACACCTTAAAGCACTACCGTCTTCACCCGAATAGAATGCCCGGTCATAATGGCTGCATCAGGACTGAAAGTTGCCCCAAATACGGCTATAATGACCAGGCGTCTAGGCAACCAGAGTGGCCCGGGGTCACTTGCCCGGCCGGGCCAAAAAAAATAAAAATAAAATAAAATAAAAAAATATTTTTAAATTTCATTTTTTATTCTAAATTCGGTGAAGAATTTCGATGTGACCCTGAGGCAAAAGTTGTTCAGTTTATTTTTCTGCATAACATAATTTTTTTCGAATTTTTTTGATTTTTTTTTTTTTTTGGTTCGCTGGGACCTTCCCTGGTCCTTGCACGGGCGGGTCCCGGCCCGCATGGTAGCCTAGCCAGGCGTTCTATTCGGGTGAAGACGGTAGTACCTCCGCCAATGTTGGGAAATTAAGGGAAATGGACTGTTCCCGAAGAGTTCGGAGGCCCGGCCGACGACATCTTCCATTGATAAATCTCATCAGTGGCCATCGTTTCGTTTCGGCCTCCTAAAAGGTCGGAGGCCCACCCGGGGCCCACTATTTTCCCACTCAGCAAGGGTACTAGTGGTTAAAAAAAAAAAAAAAAAAAAAAAATCCACAACGATCGACATCACCAAAGCGAGTGTGAAAGTCCGAAGCGCACTTCACCCTTCATAAGAATGCAAAGGCGTAGCACTGCCAAACACAATTTCTATTTCTTGAGTACAGTAACATGCAATCAGACTCGCTCTCATTCACACTTCTCATGCATGCAAACAGGTGCGCAGCAAACTGGCGACAAGCGCCCACTCAAAACTCAGAGATAAGGTAGCCGAGAACACAGTTCAGATACAAGTTCACTTCATTGGCTATGGCGACACAGCGCCCACACAACTCTCTGTTCGCACACACAGGATCACCCTGGATATCCCACACGCGATAGTCAGTACACACACACACACACACTCACTGAACTCTATCTACAGCTATGGCGGCTATGGCCACTACTACCCTATCGCTATGGCTAAGCTCCTTCTCTCTCGCCCACTTCGTCCTCGGGCTCACTGCAGACCACCTCGCACAAGTCGCTTGTGGCAGCGACTCCGCATGGCTCACGCCGGAATGAATCCATGACTGGGCGCTGCCTCTTGATTTATACTTCTGCAGCTCGTTGGTCTGGCCCTTTCCCATGCCCGTGGTGCACACAGTCCCATGCGGTACTTGCTTGACTGGACCAGGACTGACTGGGACTGGAACTGCTGACTCAGCACGGGTAGACTCCACCACTTGCCCACTTGCCTCACCACTGCCTCAGCCTAAACATGGGCATCTTCGAAAGGCCACTACTGGGACCTTCCTGAAGGCCGTAGACTTGGCCTTTCGATACTGTAGCAGCTACGACCTTGACCTTTCTGGACTGTCGCAGCTACGACCTTGACCCTTCGGGAAAACTACAGCTACGACTTCTAGACCTGACTGAGACTCCTACTCGACAGGTCTACAGATCGAACCCCTGCTACCTATGGACCCTACGACAGCCTACCAACTGTTACAAAGACACAGGTCACGGGTTCAACTCTAGGGGGTCGACACAGACACCGTACACAGGTAAGGTGGGGACTAGGGATCGAACCCTGGGATCTGCATCGGCTACTGCAGACTGGTGAATACCGTTTCAAACACAACAGAGGGACGACCCCTCTTTCAAATACAAATGTCTGAAAAGACAACTCCCATATGCTGACTTGATTGTCGGCGGATGCTGAAGAATGGCACACACACCAGTATATGTTCAAACTTCAAACGCAATAAGTAAAGCCACCGAACATCGATCAAAGCGCACCTTGTTAGGGCAGGAGGAGAAACACAGAGACAAGGAATGGCAGGTAATGCAACATGGGAGGGATACGTTAACAAGCACCCACCTGGCCTTTTGCAGAGAAAGCAAGGTTTATTGGGACAATCTTTGTATACTGCTCCAACAAACCCAGCTTGATGATCTGTCTTCTTGCAGACCTGCCAAAGAAAACAAAGGGTGTTCAAGGG